GACCAGGGCCCTGAAGGATAAATACACAGGGTGGCAGAGAGGATGGAACACCTCATTTCCTACCCTCTTCACTTCTCCCAGATGCTCAGCATCTCCAGGGTCAGCCTTTGAGAAAGGAAAATCAGAAGAAACCTGAGAAGCCCCGGGTGGGAAGAGGCACAAGGGTGCTTGGTCTCCCGGGCCGGTGAAGCTCCTGCCAGGCTGCAGAACGTTGGGCTTGGACGACACTGTGTGCGTGCCTAGAAGGGACCTCTGCCCACTACCAGGGCTGGCTGGAATGTGCATGCCAATGGGACGGGTCTCTCTCCCTATCAGAAAAGAAACAAAATGAAAAGCACCCTCCTAAAACCCTAGCGGGCTCCAGCTGATGGGGAAGCGTGATCCCAACTGACCGTTACCCTGGGAGCAGTGACCGCCAGCACATGGCCTGACATTTCCTGCTTCAGCAAGTGTCTGCAGCTCAGTGCTGTGCCCAGAACACCAGGAGCTGGCTGCACAGGGGCGGGTATTCTAAGATCCGGCAAAGGAGACTCCTCCGAAAGTTGTGCGCTATTTAGGCTGAATGTGGATGTGTAGCCAGACTGTGGGGTATGAGTTTGCCTTGTATGATCAGAGCCTCAGCTTCAGGGCCAACAGCATCTTCCTTACTGGCTGCAGCTACTCAGCCAGGAGTCTTCTTTCTGCCAGGGGTGAACACGGTGTTTCGAGCAGAGGGACTTGGGAGGGTTAAGATGGGAACTACTCAGATGAGAGGTGATCTGGAAGTGATTTGGCAGGGGTTGTGGGGGACGTGGGGCAGGGGCTGGATCCTGCACAGCCTGTTCCAAAAACTAAACCATGTGTGTACACATGCTTGTCTCTGGTTGTGGGAGCCAGATGAAGGGTGGTGAAAACCACCTCAGGCTGCTACCATTGGTAACAGCGTGGGAGCCGTGGACATGACAAGGAACTGCAGCAGGCAGAATGATGGCTTTATACCCTTCTGGAGTGTATCTTGTTTCATTGGTTATAAATGTCGTGATTTGAAAGGTATCAAATGAAGTAGAAAAATTTAGTCATTTATTTAACCTCTTTCCTCCCTCCCACAATGACCTTTTGCTCCCAGCCACCAAATCCAAACAGAAAACCAACATGCTGCTATTAACATTACAACTGGAAGGAATAAGAGTAAGGAGCTCAGCCAGGTGTGGTAGCGCACGCCTGTAATCCCAGCACTCGGAAGGCTAAGGAGGATGGCTGCGAGTTCAAGACCAGCCTGGGCTACACAGTGAGTTCCAGAGCAGTCCAAACTACATAGTGAGACCTTATTAAAAAAAAAAGAAAAGTAAGGAGCTCATGGGCTGGGGATTTAGCTCAGTGGTTCTGCTGCCTGCCTTGTAAGCACAAGGACCCAAGTTCAATGCCCAGTATCCCCCCCAAAAGAGTAAGGAGCTCATGTTGGGGTCTCCTATGTGTCAGATGCCATGCACATATCAGGCACATAAGGAAAGGGGCTTTTATTTCACTTTGTAGATGGAAAATTTTCTTAGGGAGATGAATTTTGCTCAAAAGGATTTAGCTAAAGATATTTTTTTCTTTAGGTACTAGGGATTGAACCCAGAGCCTTCACACTGTACAACATCCCTAGTACTCCTTTTCATTTTAAATTTTGAGACAAGATCTTGCTAATTTGCCCAGACTGGGCTCAAACTTGCCATCCTCCTGCCTCATCTTCTGGAGTAGCTGGGATTACAATTAGGTATGTGCCACCTGGCTTGGAGCTACAAGAAATTTAAAGAAGAGATTATCCACTGTCTGCAGACCTAGTTAAGAGAGCCAACAAGAGCTGTGGAGGCACCAGGGACTAACAAGAGCAGGGAGCCATTGCCAACCCGGAAGGCAGAGAAGAAAGTGTGGGCCCATAGGAACCCAGGAGAGCAGGAGGAGGCCAGGGAAGAAAACCCCCACTGTTCCCTCTCCTGCCCTCTGGGCTCTGCTAGTGCCTAAGCCAGAAGACGTGAAAGCCCAGAGTGCCACCAGCTGTAGGGGTTGCAACAGGTGTGTGTGTGGGGGAGAGAGAAAGAGAGCAACCAGGTCAGTCAGGAAGTTTGGGGCGGAAAAGAACTCAGGACGCACTGACTCACCCTCTGCCTCTTCCACTGCCCCAGCATCACGTGATCCTGTGCCCAGTGCCTTCCCTGGGGTCGCCTCACCACGAAAGGAAGCCAGCAGTCTTACACAGGGGCCAAGCAGGGCTCACGTCCTTCTCTCTCCAGCTGAGATGCTCCTTGTGGTCCGGTCAGGAAGGCTGCCCATGGTTGCCTGGCCCAGCCTAGGAACAGAGCCCTTTAACTCCAAGCCTGACCCGTGGGCTCCGAATCCTCACATCCCTCCCTCTGCCAGGACTCCCAGCAGCCCCTTCCTGAGCCTGCTCTGGGATTCGGTCTCATGCGGCTGGTCTAGACTGCCTGACACAGGAGAGGCTCACACTGGTCACTCAGTTGTGGAACTCAAATGCTCTCCCTTTCCTTAGGACACTGGGCTCTGATGTCATAGAGTGAATTTTTCAGACATTTCCTTACCTTCTGTTGTAAATGAAGAATGTTAATACTGACTTTTTACTTTGGGCCTTGGTGGAAGATGATGATTGTGATAATAAATGTAGTAACATATTGCCGGTGCTTAAAATGTGCTGGGCACATCAAAAGCATTTTCTGTGCATTGTTTCACTGAATGTGTTGTGTCAGGCACCTCTGGTGCAAATCCTGGCGCTGCCTCACTCCAGTTCCACACAGGCTGCAGGCAGTGCCACCCAGGGCATCCCACCAGCATCTTGCCTCAGGCTGCAAATGTGTCCTCCCTCACTCGGATTCCTCTGGTGCTTGCAGTGCTGCCTGGCTGTTACATTGCTCAGGTGGTCCTGAGGGATTGGACACTCAGATGCCTGTGCATTGGCCCGCTCCATCACGCAGGCTGGCACGACTGCCCATCCCTCCCCATTTCAGTGTTTCCCCCTGGGATCATTTTCCAGAATAATTGCTGCAAGCCTTTGTCCCTTGCTCTGCCCTCAGGAAACCCAGGTTAAGACACTCCTCAACACTGTGACGGGGGGGGGGGCAGGGCTGGGGGGGGGGGGGGGGGCGGGCGCGGTGGCGCAAGCCTGTAATCCCAGCACTTGGGAGGCTGAGGAAACAGGATCGCTGCCAAGACCAGCCTGGGCTAAATAATGAGTTCCAGGTGAGTCTCAACTACATAGAGAGACCCTGTCTCAAAAAAAAAAAAAAATGACAGGGGTACTCTGTTGCTGTTGGAGACAGGGTTTGTATTTTGTAGCTCAAGATGGCCTTGAACTCTCAACTCTCCTGCCTCAGCCTCCTGAGTGCTGGGATTACAGACATGCACCACCATGGCTGGTAACAGAAGCTCTCTTCTTCTCCCTGGTTCTCAGGGGAGGAACTGAGACTGAGGAAGTTAACTAATTTGCCAAGATGGTCCAGTGGCGAAGGGGAGAGCTGTGGGAGCATAGGAAATGCTCCTCTCGGGGACTGGGAAAATGAGTTGGCCAATGACTTGCATTGATTCCGGGCTCTATCGTCTGTGCCCAGTGCACTTGCCCAGTATCTCTCAGCTGGCTTACGTGTGAAATGAGGACAGAGCTACCCCCACCTGCAGGATCTTAGTACAAATCAGAAGTAAGACCTGACATGCACAGGTCAGGCTCTATGCTAGGCGCTCTTTTCAGGTGTTAGTCTTTTAACCCACATAAACACTGTATGAGGCAGGAGTTTTTAGAGCTCAGGGTTGCGGCTGAGATAAATTAGGCACTGAAAGTAGAGTGGGCACAGCAGTGGGCTGCAGACCCAGGCTGAGGCCCAGAGTCTGCGGTCATGGCTTCCCCAGGACAGGCCTCCTAAGCAGCATCCAATGAACAGAAAGGATTTTCCTAAACCTGGTGGGAAGATAGCTGCCACTTCCTTATTCCAACGGATTGTCCCTGGCTTTCCTCTGCTCTGTGACCCCAGCTCCAGGTCATAAAGGCCAGGCTGAGTCACAGCCTCCCTTCCCCCTGAAGCACTGTGCTCAGGCCTCCTTAGTGTAGGGGAGTTGAACGCCTGGGGAAGCGCTCCCACCTTCCCTTTAGGCAAGGATGGCTGGGGGAGACCTTCAGGCCCTGCCTGGCTGGGGGAGGGCTGGCTTCTCACTCCTGGTTTTCCTGTGGGAAGGAGACTGTTTTGGCAGGATTCACAGCTCCGCCCTCAATGTCCCTCTGCTGGGAGCTTGGGGCCCCTCTGAGCTCCCTCTCTTTCCAGCTGCACTGAGTTGTTTCCCAGCCTCCCTCATTTCCTCCCTTGGGCTTCTGGGTTTGCTCAGCCCCAGGCCCAGCCCTGCCCTCTACCTAGGCTCACACCATAGGCCAGACTTGAGCTCAGCAGCTGGAAATTGGGGGTAGGATCAGCCAGTGAGAGGCAGCCTTAGCACTGGGGCCAATTCTGGAGCTGCTGGGTGGGTAGAAGGGGCAGTGGCATCCAGGAAGGAAATGTAGAGGTGGAGAGGGCGGAGATTGAGTATCCTTGATTTCAGAGACAGAGCTTAGTACCTCATATTAATAACTAGCTGAGCACTTAGCACTTGCTAACCACTACCCTAAATTCTTTATCTGCACAATCTCAGTTCTCACGGTACAAGTGACCTGTGGTTTACAAATAGGGAAACTGAGGCATAGAGAAGTTAGCATGTCTATCTTAAACCACATGGAATTGACCACGCAGGGATTTGAACCTAGTTCAGTGTGCTTTTCTTGTAAACCCATGAAATGGGAAAAGCTAAACTGGGAAACCCCAGAAAGATGGAGCAACCGGAAGAGCAGAGAGGGGCAGTCCCAGAGCCCCCGAGCTGTGACTGTGTTTAAACTCAGTGTCTCCCCCACCACCAGGGACAGGGTTGGGGCTGCTAGCTGGGGTCAGGAAGGGGCTGGGCCCCAGGCGAGGTGGCCGTCGAGGAGGCGGGCACTGCGGAGCGGGATGACAGACGCCAGGAGCCCTCGGTGAACAAAGACTGGGTGGGAGGCGGCCCGAGTCTCCCTACCCCGCCTCCCCCAGCGCCTGCTAAGCCGCGACGACAGACGGCCAG